GGATGGATGGATGGATGGATGGATGGATGGATGGATGGAATCCAGCCTTTTCTTTTGTCTCAAAATGTAAAAATATCAATAAATGTTAACAATCATTGGATGTTTTTAGTTTTATAATTTCACATCTACTGGCCAGAAAAGCACCCTCTCACAAACTGAAAGTGGCCCATGGGCCACCACTTGATAATGACAATTGCAGCAGGTTTTGCGGCTCTGGACACGTTTAATTTAGTGAACAAAAGTACAGAAATGGTTGTTTTGATGGTAAAGGTTGCAGACCCCTGCTCTAGACATAATGGTGTTTAGCTCCAAATGTATCAGATCATCTAACCAAGTCCAAATCTTCATGCTAGGTGGCTAATCTAACTGACGTATCAATCTGAGCCCTGCAGTGGTCAAAAGAAGCTATTTTACTTGAGGTGAGTCCGTTAATGTTTTTTTTCTCACAATCATGAACCAGTTGCACTTTCTTTGCACTTGCAACATAATGACATTCAGCAGGAGCCTATAAAGATTTTTAAAAGCATCTTTTGAATCGAATGCAGGAGCCTTGTGAAGTTTTATTATCAACTTTTGATCAACAGATTTATGCCACCAGAACATACCGTGGTGCTTTCTCTGGGTTTGGGGACGCCCAGTAACTCGTGCGCGAGCAGCGACTCCTCCAGCACTCGGTCATAGCTGATACTGATGGGTAACAGTGTAATGTCATACACCTCTCCTTTAAAGAAGGGCTCCAGCACCATGTGCATCATACCTGCAGACACACACAGGCACGTACACATGAACACACGCACAGCAACGTTTTCTTCACTTGGAGTGAACAAAGTCATGAGAAAACGTGTAAAAGTGCTAAACCTTTGTTTTTATTTTATGGCTTAAAATTAGTTTCATTTTAAATTTTCATCTTAAAGAGAACTGTTATCCATTTTGGCTGATATACAGTGAGTGTATTATGTGTTGTACAAGCTGTAGAGTACAACTAAGGCATCAAATACATGATGACTATCCTTCATTCTAAAATCTAAAGCAATACAATACATTTACAAAAACTGTGTACTGGTATTTGGAGTAAGAACATTCTACTTAAGGACTAAATTTAGAATGGCTCCAAAGTCAACAAATCTGCTCTAGAATAGATAGATCTTGTGATCTACATACATTGTCAAAGTAAAATAAATTTTCAGAAAAAAGATGCTAAAAAATGAACAATCACCTAACTTTGGTGGGACAGACTTCAAGGTCCGACTCCTGAATCCCTCTACATAAAACTCCAGAGGAGCGAATCCTTTCTACAGGAAAAAACACTAATTAATACACAGAAAAGCACATTTCTAAATGATTATAATAAGGCTGTTGTGTCAGATCATTATGTAACGTACTCTGACAATAGTTCGGACGTATTCTGACAGCACGGCCCAGTAGAGTTTGTCAGAGCCGATGGCGCGTCGGATGAAGAACGCTCCAGAGCGACGCAGTATCTCCCCGACGATCTTCATCCCTGCAAGAGCTTTAAAGCAGGAGAGAAGCAAACATTACAAAGAAGTGGGAGCCTGCATCTACGCTTTGATTCTTTTAATGGTTCCAACTGTGTCGTTCCTAAGTCGATACTTGCGAATTCCTGCAGCGATGACGGGCACAGGGATGTCGTAACTGAACAAGATGTAGGAGATGATCAAGAAGTCGATGTAACTCCTGTGATTGGGCATCAGGATCACCAGATTCTCCTGAGTGGCTTGTTGGAGCTACAGCAACGGAGAGTAAAATCACAAAAGAAACGTTTGCTTTAGAGTACGGTACTGTTTTTTTAATGTGACTGAAATTTTAACTTAATCGTGCACAGATCACATAAAGAAAACTAAATTAAACATTTAAAACAAGATTTTTTTATTGGCTCTTTTAACTAGAAATAGAAATAGTTCAGCATTTTGACATCTGTGTCGTTATTCCTTAGGAATTATCCAGTTTATTTAAGAAATGTATTTTCTACCAATATGGCAAGCAGATCTGATGCAATGCAGTAAAGTTTGCCTAAATCATGATTCTACCACCACCGTGTTTCAGTGATAAAATTAAGTTCCTTTCATTCTCTGCAGGGTAGAGATGGACAAATCACATCAGCTAGTGCTCAGAATTAGTCGGTTTTAAACTTGACCGGTCACCAGCCAACCCAGTGCACATTTAATTAGTTCCTGAATGCATCGCAGCAATTTGTGCAAATTTAGTGTAATTTTTTTTTGAAGTCCTACAGAAAATAAACATTGTCCTGTAATGTGATGCTTTGAGATGTGCAGAAAAAGACAAAAATGATGTGAAGCTTTAATCTGGTTCAGAAAGTAATACTGTCTTTCTTATTCAGTTGAGTTTTAAATGTGCAAACATGTCGGTTTGATCACCTGGAAGACATTTATTTTAGATTTCCAGTGACAGAGAATGTTCTGTAACCTGATTCGTTTGGAAGAAAACATTTTTTTTTATGAAATTTTTTTGTTCAACAAAAAAATTGGAAAAAAACAGAATGTACTTTATTATTTATAGTTGTTAAGAGAGAGACTGGAATCTGAAACGTTTAATTATTAATAAAAATTTGGTTGGATTTGCATTTTATTTAACCTTACTCTCTTGTTTAAAGTTACGCCTGGTTATTTTCTTTAGCCACATATATTATCATACACCATGCTTTACAGAAACATATCAATAAGCTCATCACCTGGGTAGAAGGTAAACTTGCACAAACGTTTTCTCCAGGTGCTATGGCTGCCTGTGGATTGTTTGAGTAAATGCTCATTAGAGCAGTGGTTCTCAAACTTTTATCGAGGACTAAAAGCTTACTGACTTACACACTTATCACACATAAACAAGCAAATTGCCCAAACTCCTAACTATAACTATCGTTTGAAGAGTACATTTTAAGACGTGACGGTATGTGCATTTATTCCCACATACACCGTGGTCATGGCTCCTCTACAACTGAATCCAATTTTGTTGCCATTTTGTACCTTTTTTTGTCAACAGGTCCTGTAGAGACGTCAGTGGAGCTCCTTAATAAGTCACTACCTCATTAGTAAATCATTGTGTAATTTCCACAAAAGGTCTGAAAGTATCCTCAATCCGTTTTGTTCCAAGTCGTTTTATTTGTAGCCAACATTGTACCACTCGTCTTTGTGGCCCTCTGCTTTTATCACAGCTTATGACATTGAATTAGCATGTTGTTTACCTTGTAAACAGTTGTTACCAAAACTGCTTCTGAGGACCAGTAGAAAGATCCCGAGTACTACCAATGGTACTTGTACTCAAGTTTGAGATATTTTTGTGACCTTTTTGTTTTCCTGCCTGATAGGAAACTCTGACTATGCAATACTGGATGCTTCAATAATAAATGAAAAACTAAAATGTATATTTGATTCTGATATTTAGTTATGTTCTTCTTCCTTAAGATTTAAAGATTTTTTTATTTTTTTTGGAAATTACTTGAGATTTACATCAAATTTGTGCCCAAATATATAAAAAGTCCTTCTTTTTTCAAGAACCACAGTGTGTTGCATGGACAATAGCTGTTCTTGTGTTGAACTGACCGTGCTGAGTCCTTCCATGTTGACAAAGATGGCACTGAAGAGCTTCTTGAACACTTTTGTAAATGTGTAGGCCATCAGCCTGATAAACCGCAGCTGCAGATTTTGAGACATTTCCTCCAGAATCTCACAAACTTTTTCTCTCACTTCCTGCTCGGATGACCCCGTCTCCATGGAAACCTGAGGAGACAAAAATGGGAAAGTATTAGCCTGATTGATGCTACCACAGTAGAAAACGTCTTGTTGTTGCTACATCTTTCAAAAGACATCCACCTCTTTGGTCACGTAGCGCAGATACTGGGACTCCAGCACCGCCCGGTGAAGTTCGACACTAGTGCAGGGCGGGACTCCTTTGTACAATGGAGGACTGAACGTCCTGAAGGCAAAGCCAAGGTCACTGGAGAGCCTCCTCTCCTCCAATATGTCCACAAAGTCCTCCTCATCTTGCTGGACCACTACGCCCAAATCTCTGTACTGAAGTAGGGTGATGGTGCAGTTATTTAAAAGCTGACACATTTAACAAAACAATGTAGCGGTGTGAAGTCTAAATAAGGCTTTAAAGAAAAATATGAATAAAAATATACAAATATATAATATTTTAGGCATACATGAGTAAAAAAACTATTCATCAGAATCACTTACCGTAACTATGAGATTCAAATACACTTCTAAATGTCTTTTCTATTGTTATTTTTACTCTACAGCATTTTTTTTTTTTTAATCCTAACATGCTAATATCTGCATCAGCTGAGATGTAAATATTGTTGTGCTCGTTTTGTTATTTTTAATTCCTAAAACAGACATTTAGAATTCAGCTGTGACATCATATGCAGCCATGACAGGCGTTAAACAACAAAAACAAAAGAAAGATGGGCCAGTTTCTAGTTTCTTTACATTAAGTTTTCAGCTGAACTTTTCATTTGACAGCTCAATTCTGTACGTCGTTTCACAATAAAAGTCGTAACATTAAATGTAACGTCCTAAAACAAAAGATAAAGCTTGTCACGCTAATTACGACAGATATTTTTACTGCATCTAAAGTTCACCGAGTGATTTCTGTTTGAACTCTGACCTATTAAGCTGTAACACCGAATAACGTTAACTAGTGTCCGAAGTTTGATGGATTTCTGTCGCAGATAAAGTGGCTCTCCGTACCTAAATAATCCACATGACAGTAATTTACTTCTAATCGTCTCAAAAAGTCCTACAAACATAAAGTTGTTGTATTTTAAAACGTGTAAAGTCGGAGCTCACGGTGACCGTTAAGATGCAACAAGTGTCGCGGAGGGATACAACAAGACGGCGTTAATGGCGTTGTCTTACCGTGTTTGACATTGTGTGCATTTACTAACGATCTTCTCGGCTGGCTTTGTCTCATCCATTCACTGTGGTTTTTTTTCTCATGAGAGGTTACTTCACTGCACACTGCGGACCGCGCTGCAACCTGCAGCTTGCTCCAATGAGGTCGTTCGGTTCTGGAAACTCCTCCCAACCCGCTTGTAGTGGTGCGCCTCTTTTCTCTGCAAGAAACCTCCGAACTGTTGCGCAGTCAAGACAAGTGGAGTGAATCAGGGGCGTTGCCAAGAGGGGGCCAGCGCGGGCAATGAATGAACCCCCATAGGAGTTTGCTGGTCCCCTTTTGACACCCCCCCCCCCCCCCCCCCGGCCAAATAATGTTATCCTCCAGAGTTTTTATTTGGAGTGGATATTTATTTGAGCTTAGGAAAACCTCATACTCATATTGTTTTCTTGTTTTTGAACATCCATCCATCCATTATCTTTACCCGCTTCTTCCATTTTTGGATCACGGAGGTCGCCGGTGCCCATGTCCGTCAATCACTGTGCAAGGAACGGGGACACCCTGGACAGGTTGCAAGTCCATCACAGGGACACATGGAGACAAACGAGACAAACATTCACTCTCTCACACACACCTAGGGACAATTTAGAGTTACCAATCAGTCTAACATGCATGTTTTTGGTCTGTGGGAGAAAACAGGAGTACCCGGAGAAAACCCACGCATGCATGGAGAGAACATGCAAACTCCACCCAGAAAGGCCCCCGGACCGGGATTTGAAGCAGGATAACCTGCTCGCTGAGAGGCAGCAGCTCTGCCAGTTGCACCACCGTGTATCCCCTAAAATATAGATAGAAAATAAATAAAATTCAAAAAATTTGAAGGAAAAAACATTAAAAGTTGGTCTCCCTGAATAAAGACAACAGTTCTAAGTTTAACAGAATTAAACATTTGATGCAAAAAGACAGTGCACTCATAACAGGTACTTGGGAAGTTAAATGCATAAATGTATATCTTAAAAACGAAGAGGACAATATTCTGAGTATAGTGAGTCGCTGTTCTAGTAATTTAAGCAGTAAGATTTTTTATGAAGACCTGTAACAGAATGTGATTCCCATATTTAAGAGTGTATTGTCATGCTTCCTATAGGTCTTTATCCGTTTTTCTTTGGATACTGACTATAAATACAAACTATTAAACAACAGTAGAGGTGAAACTAGATTATGAGCTAGAAAATTTCAGAAGATGTTTATGAATGGGCCGATGCAAAATGGTTCAACATCAACTTTGTTATAATCAGAGTTAAAAAAAAATTATATATTTTGATGTCTGAACTGTATCTGTTGGACTTTAAAACTTCAACACTTTATTATCTTATATTGTAGTGTTCATTTGTTTGCACTTCCTTTAGACAGGAGATAGTTTAAATGCTGGTGTTTTTCTCCTATAAAGAGCATATAGAAACTTAAAATAACTAAAGTTTTTTTTTTCTACTGGAACTCAGCAAAAAGCTTTACAAATTGCAAACATTTATTTTTTTCTAATTCACCGTGTTCTAAATCTTTACAAATTAGTGACCATATTTTAATTGAAGCGTCACAATATTTCATGTTCTTCTGCTGTGATTGTGATGACGTGAAGGTATTTAATTTCAAAAGTAAAACTGAGCACAGAAAAAAATGGCAACACACTCACTGTAGTACTTTCACTGAGTTTAATGAGACCACTTTAACAACAAACCGGTCGATGAAGAACAAATCACAAATCATGTTCACAGTAAAAGGCCAAAATTAACTATTTTCAAGCTGTTTAGCTCTTTCATGGAAAGAATAACAGATTTTATGGACCATATCTTCTCTCATAAACAATACTGAAGGCTAATATCATGACAGATCAGGCTCTTACTCGCAACTGATGAATTAAGCAGGAGATCTTAACAATGGTTCCTGCTTTGAACACTGTGTTTAAGGACATAAAGATCAATTTACAGTGTTTGCTACAAGAAAAAAAAATTTTGTTAATACCATGACTGATTGTCCTTTAAAAGCAAAGAGTAAAAGATGCTACAATGAAAAGAGCATTTCATACCATGTACTGGAACTCATGCAGGCTGTGGTTTGAATAAAAAAACATAAAAAAAAATATGATTACCTCAGAGACAGCTAATGCCTCTCATAAGATTTGTGCTTCAAACTGACAATAAATCTAAATCTAAATTTATTCCACTGTGTTCTAAAGGAACATTTAAATGTATTAAAATTATAATTTTAACTAGATCGATTTCTTCCAAACAGCACCAAAATTCTTGCACACATATATGAATACTTTGCATACAAGTGCAAGAAAAGAAATGTGTTTCTGTGCTGACTGAGGACATTTAAAGAAAAGATAAAACGATTCACAATAAACGTTTGGCACGTTTGAGGAACTTGCTCTTTGGCATACACGCAGCTCAGCTGAACAGAACAAACAGTCTAAAAAGTCTAAATAAAAACTAATCTAGCCACTAAATTCATCTCAATGCATTCATAAAACTGTGGTTCCCAACCCTGATCCCTGAGGAACACCACCTTGCATGTTTTAATTGTTCCCTTGGTCCAATACACCTGATACGTGATTTAATTACTTCCTCGAGTTATGCAGAAGCCCGTTAACAACCCATCCATTCAAATCAAGTGTCAAGGCAGGAGACAACTAAAACATGCAGGATGGTGTTCCGCAAGGATCAGAGTTGGGAACCATTGCGCAATCTGTGCTAAGCTGCCTAAATAAATAACTTTAGATCTCCAAAAATATACACATCTAATTCTTTAATAAAAGTGCTCATTATATCCTTATTGTCTTTAAGACTAATCATGGCAGATTGTTCACCCCTCTGCGATGCAGGAAAAGTGCTTCAAGAATTTCCAACAATACACCTCACGATTGCACATCTGTCCAAGTCGCTCCGGCAGTCAGTCACAGGTGGTTCGACCGGTTCGGAGGAGGCTTAATCAGCTGCCGGAGCTGGGAATCTGTGGAGGCGTCTCCTGATCTTCCACTCGAGGGAACTGCTCCCTCCAGTAGGTGAAATGGCTGTATGTGTCCGAGCAGGGGAAGTCTGAGGAAGAGGATCGGGCTATGAGGGGAAACACATGGTCCACCACTTCGCCCAGACGAACGTAACTGAAGAAGGGAGGAGGGAGTGGCGTAATAAATCCACTGAACGCTTCCGAGCCAGAAAAATTTGTTCTTTGAATGAAGTAAACTTACGATGAGATGTTGGTCTTGGCGTGTTCCTGCACCAGCTCCCCTTTAGGGTTTACCGTGAAAATCCTGTTGAGTGACACTCCTACTTCTTTGTATGAATACACATCCTACAAACAGATTTAGAATAAACGATGCACGTTATTTAAACGTCAAATTCAATAATTTATTATGCTTGGATCGAATGCAATCGGTTAAACACAATGTGAAGATATGAGTCTGTACCGTCGGCCTGTTGCCAAACGCTGCGTAGAAAGGCTGCGAGTTTGGATAGAAGAGGTGCTTTATATCTGTGAGACACTCCACCTTAAACTTCTCTGGCTTCTTCTCAATCACCTCCCTATCAAACACAAACACACAAAACCAACGTGGTCATAGTTTCTCCTCATTAAGAGTTTATTTCAGAATAAAAGTTGTTTGTGTGGATTTGAACTCACCTGTGCAGAGCTGAAAAGAGGCTGCTCGGGCTCAGGAGGACGGGGCCCATAGGCAGCATGGTGCCTCTCTCGTTGACCCAGTTGAGGTAGCCCCTGGTCATGTCAGCCATGCCGATCGCCCGAGCTGAACAATACAGGAACTTGTAGCCATTTCTGACAGAGCAACAAAAAGATCAATCCACAAAGAAAAACGCTCGACACCCAAACGAAGCAATTTTACTCTGTCAACGTTTTTATATTTGTTCCCACTTTCAGACAACCTCCAATAAGATTCAAGTTAACCTTGTTGACATGTGCGCATGATTCATGGTATGAGCAAATTCACTGGTTCACACAAAGGATTTCCACCTCAGAACAGCAGCAAACTTAAAACAGCATGCAAAGTTTTGGCTAAATGAATTGTATTTATTTAATAAATAGATTTTTAAAAAGCAGGTTTTAGACATGGAGGAATGTTCCTGAAGAAGTTAAGATTTTTGTCAGTTACTTGAAAAAGTCCAACGTTTTGGGTAATTTGTAACTTTATCTTTATTCTAAGCCATTTTATATTAGATATAATGAATGTGACTGTATGCTTTAATTATAACAAAGAGCACTTACTGGCTGACTTTATGGTAGAGGTGTGCAATTCCCTGATGGGTCCAGTCTTTTCCAAGGGTGGGCAGGATGTGACCCAACGTGTCTGACCTGGAAATGAAATCTACAAGTTTTATTGCCAAAAGTAATATTTTACAACCTTACAAGAGCTTAATGTAAAACATGAATTTAAGGTTGCAAAAAGGTTAGAAAGATTTATCAATAATAAATGTTAGTGCACATGATGGGGCTTAATCTTTAAACAGAATTATAAACAGAGTCTGCAATGAATAAGTGGGAGAAAAAATTAAACTAATGTGAGAGGATTATTTCATCGTTTGAAATTACCCATGCCATTAAAAAGTAATTAAAGTGGTGCACAGCATAAAGATGACACTGAAACATTAAAATCCACTTTGTTTGAAAATTGTGTGAAAGACGGACTGTACTTGGCACCGTTTCAGTGCCAGATCCGGCCTGGAGCTCACTACACTAAAACCATGTTGGCACATGTATTTAACATGCACTCACACAAGTTTTGGACATGTTCCTCCATGAAGAGGTTCTGATCTGAAAAATGTCTTCTGTTTTCTGATGTAACTGGAAACTATATTGCTCTTAATGCCTTAACTGCCTTGTTCAGGGTGTGGCACTTACCATAATTTTCCAACTATAAAGTGCACTTAAAATCCTTTAATTTTCTCAAAAATCAACGGTGAGCCTTATAATCAGGTACGCCTTATGTATTAATTCTGGTTGTGCTTACTGACCTTGAATGAGCTGAATAAAGTTTGACTTGTCTGACTGTTTTGTTTCGCTTAATGCAACTTCAAGTTGTTCAAGTAAACATGCGGATCCCACACCTGGTGATGGTTCCATCGATGTCAGAGATGACAATCTTGTCATCCCAGTTCCAGAGGTAGATGGTTCCCTGACATCGACATGTTCCCTGATACTGAGTGGTCACGCTGAACACAACGTCGTTAGGGCCGTCCAGCAGCTGAAGAGACAGCTGCAGGCATGAGAGTGAGAGGAGGCGGCGACAAGACAGTAACGCATGAAACAACTTGTGGGGAGAAAAATTACGAGTTCCAAACTTGTGGTCCTCACCAGCTGCTCAGAGGTCAGGCGGAGTGTTTTCTTATAAGAGACGCCTCCTGATGGGAGTCCAGGCTCGGACTGGAGGATCGGAGAGCTCTGCTTTGCTGCAAGGAGGTCTTCATCACTAGATGATGACTCCTCTTTATGTCTAGATCCAGTCAAGTCCACAACATGAGTTTAATAATCAACTATGAATAAAAATTAATCAGTAAAGTTTTAGGATTAAATTTCCTACCTGCTATTCATGATTCCAGCTTGTTCAGCAGAACCACAAGCTCCGTGCTCGGCAACTGAATCCTAAAAGGAGAGTAAATGTCAACTAAATAAAAATCTGAAAGCTGTGCGTTTCCTCCATTTCATACAATAGAAAAAAAGCAGAACCTACTAATTTCACGTTATTGTTTCTGCCCCTCCAGGAGGAGAACCACCACCTTCCTCCTTTCTTGGGCATCTTCTCCTTCATGACCTTCTCCACTGTGGTCTAAAGGGGAGCAGGTACAACTCAAACATCCACAACACAAACACCATCAACAAAACTAAAGCAAAGCAAGACTTTAAATCAGCTGACAACGCAGAAACGAGTCACCAGCTGAGTGGTAAAAATAAAAAGAGAGATTGATTCAGGAAGAAGAATTAGGAAGGCAGAAAGAAAAGGATGGAAGATAAGAAAAGTCAGATAAACGTATTTTCTGACATAAAGAGCTGTAGCCCGGGACAACAGTCAGACAACAAAGCAGGAACTTTGAGGATGAGTGTTAACTAGACAAATTGCATTTCCTGTGAAAATGCAGTGTGAATGCTTATTGCTGAAGAACTTGCTGGAAAAACAGCTAAAATTTGCTTAAAAAATGCTAAATTTTAGCTGAAAAAGAAGAACAAGCCTAAATTAGCAGAATACAGCAGAAAGAATAAATATTTGCTGAATTAGGTTTAAACAAGCAGAAATTAGCACAAAAGTTATGACATTAGCAACAAAAAGCTGGAATTAGCAAATAAAAATTGCTGAAAAATATCTGGAAAGGCAGAAAGAAGCTTGAGCTACCAGAAGGAAGTGGAAAGAGCTGAAATGAGCTACAAAAATGTGGAGCTGGCTGAAAAAGCTAAATGTAGCATAAAACAGCCAAATAGTAGCTAAAATAACTGAAAATAGCAGAAATAAGTCGAAAGGAGCATAACAAGCTGACATTAGGAGAACAAGGTTAATTAGGTTGAAAGTTGCAGAAGTTACAAAATAATTTAATTTATCTGAAAACAGCTGAAATTAGCTAAAAAAATGCTAAAAAGGTAGATGAAAAGGTGGAACAAGATTAAATTAGCAGAAGAAAGCAGAAAAAAAGACGTTTGCCCAATTAGGCTGAAAGAAGCAGAAATTAGCACAAAGAAGAGGAAATTATCTGGAAAAAAGAAAGAAATTAGCCACACACACATACACACACACACAAAAAGCCAAAATATAGCTAAAAACGCAGAAAGAAGCTTAAATTACCAGAAGAAAGTGGAGAGAGCACATTTTTGCTGAATTAGGCTTAAAAAAGTTGAAATGAGTGCAAAAAACAGTGGACATAGTTGCAAAAAGCTAAAATTAGCATACAAACAGCTAAATAGTAGCACAAATAGCAGCAAAAGCTGAAACTTGTAGAAATGAGCTGAAAGGAGCATAACAAGCTGAAATTTGCAGAAAGAAGTTAGAAGAAGCACAGAAATGCTATAGTTAGCAGAAAGAATTGAAAAGGAGCAAAAAACAACAGAATAAACAGCTGAAATTAGCTGAAAGTAGCTGGAAAAAAGTTTAAATTTGCACAAGGAAGCTGAACCAGAACAAAATGTGAAAGGAGCAGTAAAAGGTTGTAAACAGATCTAAAGATATGAAGGATGTAAAATGAGTTCAGTTCATTTTCTATGAGAAAAAAATGTGGCAGAAAATACTAAATATTTCAAAAAGCTAAAGTTGCACCAATACCAAAAGTCATAGGACCCTTCTCCAGAATGAGCTGAACATTTTGATATGATTTGTTGAAATGCCACAAAAATTGTGGAAAAAGAAAGATGCAGAAAAATAAGAGAAATGAATCATAATGAATGCTTCATAAGTATTCACACAATAACTAAAAGGCTCTAATTATTTAACGACGTAAAGTGGTGAAAAAAGAAGAGAACAGAGGAAGAGCAGTCATAATACTGTACCGGTTCCTACCAGCAGGGGGCACTTAAAACATACATTACAATCGATTTAGTGAGTCATTAGTATTCGAGTACATGAGCCATCACCCTTTTACCTTTGGCAGGGGTTTCTGAAATACTTGCAGAGCGAGCACAAGTGGAGCCGCAGTGCTCCAATTATAGTACCTGTGAGAAATAAAATGTATAACCAATTAGGTAAAGAAATGCAAACAAAGATACATTTAAGTAGCAAATAACTTCATTTGGACTAGGAATTATGTTAATTTTGTCATTATAATGCATTTCATTAATGTCTTACTTTGAGCCAATTTTCACAACTAAGTTGGGGTCGTCGATGATGGAGGGGTTTTCTATAAACTGCTGATATGAGATGAGCTTATTGTAAAACTGTTCTGTAGAGGAAAACACACACACACATTAAGTTTTTGAGCTTCATGTCACACCCTAGAGTCGTCCTGTGCCACGTCAGCGTACCTGTAGAGATCTCCTTGTTGTCGGTGAGTCCCCCACACAGGGAGACAGCGGTAGATGGGAGGTCGGACATGGGGTCGCAGTAACTGTCCACGCCGCTGTCCCCTCCTGAGCCCACGGACTGCGGGGACTGACTGGTGCTGTGAGGCCCCGGGTCGGAAATGCTTCTCAAAGTTGAAGCACTGTCACTACAGGGGAGGAGGAAGTGTTTACAAGTGTTGATCAAAACCTATCACATCATATTAAACTGCTAAGAGACAGTGATATGTACTCTTAACTGAACCTACACAATATTTAAAAAATGTATCAATACTGTAAAAGACTGCAGACCCAAACTGTATGCTAATACTACATCTAGCAATCAAATGGTGGCTCGTTTTCCTAAATACCGATTTAGATGATTGTAGTTAAATTATTCAGTACTGTTTTGTCCTTTTATTGTTGGTTTTAGTTTATAATTTATTTTGTTGTATTGTTGTCTGGTTTGACTGTAAAGTCCTTTGATCAACCTCAGTTGTTTTAAATGTGTTATCAGTGGCGGCTGACCAATAGAGGGCGCTTGGGTGCCGCCCCACCACTCAACACTCATCACATTACCTTGAATAAGGCATAAAAAAATAAAATTAAAATTAAATAATTTTCATTCATTCGACTTTTATTTAAACAGATAAGTCACAATGAGCCTCGAAGACTCATTTACAAGTAAGACCTGTTTGGACAAACAATATAAAGTGGTGAAAAACACATAGGGTTTGGAGACAAAAAAAATTCCTCACACACATTTAACCTCTGTTTGAAGGTCAACAGTGTGATAATGAAAAAAAGCTTGCACACTAGCACATAATGACGCCGACATTAGGGGGGGGGGGTGCAAATATATATGCATATATTTTTTGTTGTGTAAGATAAACATTTAAAGTTGATGATGAATAAAGTTGTTTAGTTCAAAAACGTTGTCTCTGATTGGTGATGTATTTCCGCCCTGGGGCGCAAAAATCTGCCCATAGACTGTTGTTAAAAGTTGAACACACGCAGTTAGCTCCTCTTCATTACAAGATATAGGACCATTCTGGGCGCACCTCTCCTGCGCCCAGAGCTGAATGCACGGTACGGAACGTGCTTCAAGAACAGATCGTGCCACTCCCAACCAGGCTATTTGTGAGACGCTAGCTGCTGCAGGTAGGCTTTAAGCCATTGAAAGCCCTTTATCTAATGTCTATGTTGCCATTTCTGACTGATATGCCTCTCAACTTTTAGATGTCTCTGTTTGTAGAAAAAACGTTCAGCTGACTGCATATTCTAAAAGTGGGAACTGGTGAGTTTTTTGTTTGTTTGTTTGTACATACATACATGTTTATTTATTTATGTCTATTTTGGAGTTATACCCCCCTCCCCACCAGAGAAAACTCCACCAGCCGCCACTGTGTATAAATAAAACTGTCGCTGATGGGGGTGGAAATGCTGAAGTGAGGAAAAGTGGGTTTAACACAGCTGATGTTATCAGCCATAGTATAGTGATAGTAAAAGTAGTCATAATAAACATAATAATGCAATAGCATGTGTTCCAAATGTTGTGCAGCCATATTCTTACAGATGATATGTTTGTTGTCTGTCCATGTACCTTTTAGGGAAATACAGTGCTGCCACCTCAGGCTCCAGCTCTGTAATATCATCTAGGTAAATTCCATCAGAACCAAGATGGCGGCTCCTTTTGTCTGCAGCAGACAAAAAATGCACAGAAGAAAAGAACTCTCAGGTTTATCTAAGATAAATGTAATTCTGTTGGTTAAGCAGCTTTTTATAAACAGGAACGATGAAAGATTTTCTGCCACTTTGAAACATCCCCGTTCACTCTGTGAATTTCATCAGGGAGCTTCCTTTTTACAGCATCCCTCACCTTTCTTTTTAGATGGAGAGTCTGTCTTCCCGAGAGGAGAAGGGGCCGTCTCCTCCATGTCGCCCACCGTCTGCGTCTCTGAAGTCACCGTCTGGGTCTTCACCTCCATGGATACTGACTCCATCCTTGCTGTGTCCTCCTTCGTCAGCATCGGGGGTGTTGGTATCTCAGAGCAGGCTCCACGTTGTTCTGAGGGCATCTCGTGGGGGATCACACAGAAGTGTGTGTTCTCAGCCACGGGGATGGATAAAACACGAACAGACTGTGGGTTCGACTTCAGAGGGAGGAAAGAAGGCTGAAAAAGTGAAGATTGGTGTTAAAGGAGAAACTCCTAACGCTTTTCAGACGTGTTGACGGTGCACGTTTCTGTACCGTGGCGGCCTGCGGCAGCTCTCCCCACGCCCATAGCATGGCTGGATTCTGACTGTCCGAGTCCAACAGATTAGTGATCAGCTCGGAGTCACTCTTTGGAGAGGTGGGGCGAGAGTTGCCAGGGCTGAGAAAGGGAGGAACAAAACAATGTCATAAAAATTAAACATCTCATTTCAACAAGAGTAGATTTTATGAGTTAAGCACCTCTGGATTGGGCTCCACCCTCCATCTGAACGAGCGTAGACACCACCCTGTTTGAAAGAACCACCGCTGGAAGCAGCTGTTGTCTCGTCTCCCAAAATATCTCGAGAAGACCTGAAACGTAAACGCACAAGGATGACATTGTAGTTTGTTGTTTCTAGAAACTTTTATGAGTAAAAGAAACAAATATTTGCAGCTTTCTTTCAGCACAATTCCCTCAAACACAAAAAATCAATCTCTAAATAGGTGTTTATTATTGTAGCATAAAATTTAGTCTGTTTTTTTCTTATCTGACTGTGTTTGTTTCCTATAGAGCTGCTTCTAAACCTCATAAGTGATGCATCACATTATTTATCTAATTGTTCTGTCATATCCTCATTTCTTTACACTTGTGGAACAATTTTCCTACATTGTAGTTCTCTTATTGCTTTCTCCTTACCTGTTGCTCTCCATTTCCCCCTCTTCATCCGAGCTCATGTCGATGGAGAACATATCTTCATCCACCGAGTAGTCGCCATTCTCCTCCCTCCTCGTGCTGTCTGCCCGACTCTTCCTCCTCCTCTTCCTCCTCTTCTTGATCTCTCCATTGCTCCTTAGGGGGCCCAAGTTCTGCACAGCAGACCCAGAGTTCTTCCCCAACAAGGGGGAGCTCATCAAAATGGCCCCATTTGACAAGATGGGAGAAGTGGCCAAATGGGAAGGAACAACTTCCTGTGTGGAGCAGAAATACAAATGAGATAATGAATGTTTTGTCATCGTTTTTTATGATGTACATCAAGCAAATACAACTATAAAGCATAAAATGTGAAGCAAAAGTTTTAAATAATTTAAAACTTTGGGGAAAAAAATAAAACTTCAAATGCAAAAATCTTATTTGAAGTTCATTTAAATGAAGGAGCATTTTTGACTGGATGCAAAATCTGAAGTGTTAAGTTTGAAGTTTGTTATCAGGATTGTGTGCACATTAATAAAATGTTCGTAAATGCCAATACCAACTTGTGCTTCGAAACCTTATGAACAGATGTATGTGTACTAGTGTAGGCTAACAGACTCTGTAAATAGATTCATTAAATACTCTGACCAACCCCATACAAAGCTCGATTAGGTTCTTTTCTATTCTGTGAAATCACTGGTGCCTTAATTTATATGGCAATGGATGAACATTCTATTTTATTGTGTCTTGTTGTTATGGTTTTGTTTTGTTTTTTTGCCTGTTTTTGTTTACTATGGACCATGTACCAGTATGTCTGAAATAAAGTTTTGATTGATTGATTGATTAACTAAAATACGTTCGTTGGCTTTGCAATTCACACCGACCTTAAAACTTAACACATTGAATCCACAATAAATCCTTTTTTTAGGGTCTACCACACCAAATAAAAACGCCTGAAATTTAAAAAATAATAATAATAGGCATAAAAACTGGTAAAATAGAGGCAGGCTTCACAGTTTTTTCTGTATTTATGAAATTGTTTGCCCCTGTCATTTTGAAGTTCCTGTTCAGTAATAAACTTGAAAATTTCAATTCTGATCTTTTTTTGTTTGTTTAATCTATAAAATGTTCTCTTTAATAGTAATAGAAAGAATTGTTAAATAACTACCAGACACTGAAAGCTGAGGTTGTTCTGGAAAAAGAAGCCAAAATACAAACTCAGTACACATTTTTTGACAGTTTTACAACTATAAAATCAAAAAAATATCAGGCAGCCCTGTTATAATTATGGTCATAAGAGGGTAAGGAAGTTTTATAGCCCATTTTACTGACAGCACTTCTAGTAAATGAATATGTTTTCTAGGAATATTTCCTCCGAGTGAAGCTGGATCTAAATACGTAATTGAAAAAAATAGAAAAAGGGAAGGGAAACTAAAGCCTAACCATGTGATATGTAGGTAGGTCTGGACAATACGTCTCACGTTTTCTTCCCCGCGCAAAGAAAATGGATTCAGAGGCACAATACTCCAACCCCCTTGCTTTAACCCCCTTGCTTTAACCCCCTTGCTCTCCCAAAGCCTGGGAATCTGACACCACTCAGGGGAAAATAAACCACCCGCTTCTCTTGTTAGAGCCGGCCCCTGAAACCTCAGTGCTTTATTGCTCGTTTATTACTTTTGGCTGGACATGCCGTCATGGGGGTACAAGGGTGGAAAAAAAAACATTTTACTGTCAAAGCATTTGGCTCCTTTAACTTGGAATATTGGAAGCTCAAAATATAAGGTGTTTTCTAATAGCTAAGCTAAAGTCTCTAATTATGTACATTAATTTTATGCCTATTTATTTGGAAGAAAACGTTTCAGACTAATGAGCCAGTTGTTCGGCTGCAGTGTTTCATTTACTGGCATGCGGAGTATCTGGGTTAGTAAATACTTCCTTCATAGTTCTCACCGGAAAACACAAGTAGCTCAAAAAGGAAAGGAAAACATAACCTCAGGTTGTTGCGCCAACACCGACCTCCTTTAAACTTACAGTACGTGTCAAAAGTAGAAGGTGCAAAAAATACTTCTTAAAAAGGGTGTGTCTGTAGGGGTGGAGTTTAGGTTGTTGTTTTTTAAATCGTAGAGACTTTCAGGTAAACAGTTCACGATGTTCCAGTTATCCTTACCTGATCATTTTCTGTTTCCTGCACAAAGAACGCCTCTCCGTTGTCCCCAAGCTTCATGTGAAGGTCCACCGGTTTTCCGTTGATTTCTATGTCCACCTGGAGCAGAGAGACAAAAAAAAAAAAAAACAGTTAAGAACGCCAGAACTTTCCTCCTAATTCTGCTTCTTAAAACCTTACCACTTTCTCACGGGAACGCAGGACGCCCATTTTCCCGAAACGAACGTGGAAGGGCGAGCACTGCAGAGAGCCATCGGGCTGCCGCACCACGATGACGTCGATGCAGCCGGAGAGGGTTGCGGGGTTGAGGCCTCGGTACAGCTCTTTGACCTGCACGAACACCTGGCCCGCCAGCTGGCCCACGTAGTTCATGGTCTGACGGGTCTGCTCAGGTGAATAGAGGAATGAGAGGAGGGGACAGAAAGAACTGATTTAGTTAGAGCCATTCAATCAGGATGGTGACACAAAGCAACTAAAAATATATCACACTGTTTCTAGACTCTACATCCTGTTTGAGGTGTTTGAGGAACTTGTGAATAATCAAATGAAAGAGGAGTGGACTAACAGCTTTAGGGCACAGAAACACTGTAACTGCTTCCACTGAGATTTTATTTATTTTTTTGTTTTATTTCTGGAGGCCAAAAACTATTGTTCTGGCCTTTTTATAGATCTGTTTGAAGCGTTGGATGCTGTAGATCGTGGCATCCTAATTTCAGACCAAACTATTCGCTGTTTAATAAAGTATCTTTCTGGTTATAAGCAAAGTGTTCAACTTAGTGGTCTCTCTCTTTCATTTATGTGGATATCACAAAAGGTGTGCCTCAAGGCTGTGTTTTCAGACTTGCTCCCTTTTAATTTGCATCATCACTGTAGGATCTAATGCTATTGACACATCTTATACAGTATATATAAATAATGTACGATGACACAGTTGTTTACTTTCTCACTGTTGTTAGGTGTTTTTTATTCTGGATGCCAAAGACTTTTGTTCTGGCCTTTTTATAGAACTGTCTAAAGCATTGGACACTGTAGATCGTGGCATCCTATTCGCTGTTTAATAAATTATCTTTCTGGTCATAGGTAATGTGTTCAACTTAGTGGTCTCTCTTTTTCATTTATTTGGATACCACAAAAGGTGTGCCTCAAGGCTTTGTTTTCAGACTTGCTCCCTTTTAATTTGCATCATCACTGTAGGATCTAATGGTACTAACACATCTTATACAGTATATATAAATATGTACGATGACACAGTTGTTTATTTTCTCACTGTTAGTCAGTTATATATATCTGCAGTCTGCATTTGAAAATTAACGATATGTTCCACCACTTTGTAAATGTGACTAAACTAAGTACTGAAAACTGTAGTATGAAAAAAAATACAGCCTTAGAAGTTTTTTCTACTAGTAAATCCACATAAAGAATCTGTATAAAATCTTTCTTCTTATAAATATCACATTTTATCTCATGAAAACCTTTTGTACAGTATGTTTCATATTCAAACTTCATCGAAAACGGTGGTACAGTTATAGAAATCATTTGTGTTTTTTATGACTCTAATGTACAGTATTATGTTTTTTTGTAAAAACAGTGTTAGATTGTGTTTGTTTTGTATTTTTCTCTTAAAAGTTAGGGCTTGTGTATCAATGAGATTACTGTACTGATTAAAAATAAAGGTGACGTAAAAACAATGGTTATGAGATTTTAATGTAAGCTGCTTGTAGCTCAATACTGTGGGACCTGATCCCACCTCCATCTCTTCTTACTCATTAGTCTGGAAATCCTATCCAACTGTTTTCCAGACTTAAGTTAGACTGGTCTGTACTTCTCAAGTGTCTGTAATATCACGACCTTCAATGTCTTATATTAGCTGAGCTGAAGCTGCGCCAAGACATCAAGAGCATCAGAATATAAAAAGATACTGTTACAAAACAACTTTTTTTTTATCATAGCCTCTATTAAACAACCTTTGACTCCCAAATGTGAAAGTAGTGGTTTGTTCTAAAATACTGTACATATTAAACATCACGCAAAAAGCTATAATTAGACTCCTTTTCCACATTTGAATGCTGTTTGCATGTTCAAATGAGCGTTACAAACACCAGATGAGGCAAAGAAAGGACATCAGTTACACTGGGCTTGGTTGTGTTGTATTTCGCTGCACCAGATGCCAATTAGATTTCTCAGGGTTTGGTAACTGAATCAATAGGTGTCTCTTTGGAGATTTATAAGTTGAGTCATTAACAGACGAGGGCTGACCTTGACTTATTTGGCAGCAGGTCTCTAAATGATTGCAGCGCCAGAGAAAACAGATGGAATAAAGCCAACAAACCTCTGCCATCCATCACATGATCGAGCCAAAAAGAGGCCCTCCTTAAAGAAAAACCCAGGGAACCTGATTTCAAAACAGCACATCAGTCTAACGAGCCATGCTGCCTTCCTTAAAAGTACCCCCTATAAGTGTGTTCAGTCATTCACTGCATTTTCCATTCAGGCACTAACAGACATTGTCTCCTGCAGCTGATTTTCACAGGGCTTTTAATGCTGACTGCAGTTACATGGTGCTGAGCAGCTCCGGCCAAAAATAGTCTGACTTGCCAGAGACTTTAAAAAAAAAGAGGAAGAGTGTCTCAAAACACACTCCTCAGCTTTTAGTTTCAAGTAAGAGTTATGAAGGATTTATTTACACTTGAGCTGAGCTGGTGTTTAATAGTGATGAAATCTGTGGTTTAAAGAGTTTTGTAGGAAAGTGACAGGACCACTCAGCAGATGATGAATAGGTTGAGTCTATTGTCTCAGATTGCATCACAAGGTAAATATCAGACGTTTCCTACTTTTTACTGGAATAAAAGCCCCAGCATGTAAATGGGTTTTTTTTAAATGTGGAAATACTTACATCTGAGTGCACATGCCTGACACAATTAAGGTAACACATGAAATCCAAAATTAGGAATCTTGTGCTGAGAAGTGAATTTGAATCGGTTTAATCATAGCAGGCATCTAGAGAAAAGAAGCAAAGCAGTAATCACCCACACATACCTGTTCAGGTTGAATGCTGGCAGACTTCAAACACCAACCCAGAGGCAAGTGTTCCTGAATAACAACTAAACTAAATGTTAATTAAAATGTAAATATATCTCTCCTGTTTCCTTACAGAGCGTCCCATACAGTCCAAACTTTGTGTCGCCCAGTCCCAGAGGCAGAGACGAACCATTCAGGTGAAAGACTCGTTTCTTCTGTGTTTATCTTCGTTTTACTCCTCTCATGGGGGCGTGTCATGACTGTGACGTCATCGGGCTTTCTGACCAATCAGCGTCGAGCAGTTGATTTTGCCAATCCCACTGTTTTTATTCGCCGCTGTGGCATCGCGCGCATGTTACAACCAGCTGCATCATCCGTGTTGTACACGTGAATGGGATTATAATCGCGGTGAAAACTCGTTCGGCTTTGTTTTTATTGGTGTGTGCGAAACGTTTGAACGTCACCTAAGCTAAAAACACATTTTAACCCTTCTTTGTCTGAAGACGTTAAAGCAGTTTGCAGCTACTGGAGTTGAGGCCAGTAGCTTCTATATGGAAAGCCGAATTATCATATAATACGTTTTTAAAATTCTGCTTATACCTAATCACTGACTTAGTAGCAGTTTTCCATAAACCATGGAGGATTAACTGAGACCTCAGATTGTGAGTTCTGATTCAGTGTGAGGGTTCGGCTCTTTAACCCAGATCAGCATCCGTCCAGCTCTAGAGACTGAGACCACCGAGATGCTCCAGAACCCCACAGGAAGTCCTTCCTCCCTGTGGCTATCAAGCTTTTCAACTCCTCCCCATTTCTACACATAGCACAATAAAATTAATCCTGTTTTACAATAAACTCTTTAACGTTTCTGTCTGCACCTGTTTAGATTTAATTGCTTGCATTTGTAGAATCTGTTTCAAACTTAACGGTTGGCATTCTGTTGTCAGAGTCAGAGATTCGTCATTGTCATTCGCACCTCGTGTGGTACATGTGGTGGAGCGAAATTGTGTACACAGGGTCCCAGTTACATCCAACAATAAAATGTAAAAGAAAAACAATGATAACATCCAAGATATTAACTACATCTATATAGTCTTTAGTCTTTTACTATAGTCTTTATATCTTGTGATTCTTAGGTATGTTCCTTTGTACTGAAACTCTGGCACAATAATTTCCTGCGGGATCAATAAAGTTCTATCTTATCTTAACTGCAAAATGGCTGCAAAGATCAGTCGGGCTTCATGCTGCCTCTGCCCATTTATAAATCTCGGACGAGAGTTTCACAAAAGGAAGCGAGAATTGTGCGGAACAAAAGAGGCGCGGAGCAGAACTCGTTGGGTTGATGTGGATCTTGATGCATTGCATATTTTACACAGTACACATGAATATATTCAACTTGTGAATGATGCCTGAAACATCTGAAATGTTGGCTGTGGATAGACAATAAAAGATTTGATAGATAAAACAACATGATGAGAATTGTACTATAGATCCAACATTTTTCAGTCAGGTCATCTGGACAGTTTCTTTTTTTTGTGTGTGTGCTGAAATGTTTCGCCTTCGATCCAGAAGGCTTCATCAGTCAACGAAACACACAACACAAAACTGATTCTTCCCCCAACAGCTTACTCCAAAGTGGAACAAACCAGTTATGTTGGTGCTAAGATGGTGTCTTTGGCACGCCCCCTCCTCAATTGCCCGCCCTCTTCCTTGTTGACAGTCGTGTCCAACTGATTGAAAACAACAAAGTCCATGCTCAATAATCAATTGATTACTGAGCATGGACTTTGTTGTTTACAGATATACAGAGAACCAACTTTGCCATTGCATGGGAACATACATTGATGACAGTCTCAGACTTCCCTCACCCCCCAGGTCTCTTCTTTTTTTGAATGTTTATTATGGCTCAAAGCAATGCTTTTAATGATTAATCTGTTTATTTGAATGAGTTAAATGAATTTAAATGAGCCCTTGTGGCTCACTGAGACTAACCTGTACAAATAAAGGTTGAATGAATGAATGGATTTGTTGGAGTGGGTTGTCAAAACCTACAGCTCAAATTTTACTGGCGGTAACTTCTGATTTAGCTACAAAAAAAAAGCATTTTTCAAAAATTTTAAATGTCATAATGAATGTTTAAAACTAACTCTAGCAAAAATGTCATTGAGAAGCACATTCATGAATCTAGTATTATGACTTGTAAAAACAGTTGCAGAAATTGTGGCGAGAATGTCTTTTTAGTTTTTTTGTAAAACTGACTTTTAAGTTTTCTAAGAAAGCCCTTTTTTTACTCTTAAGAGAATGTGGAGACAGGTGTGCTTGATTAGACTCTACAACGGTCTGCCATACAGTAGAGTTTAAAGTCACCCAGTGAGTGTGGTGCAGTGAGGTGATGTTTCTGCCCAATCACAGCCCTGCCTCGCAGCACAGGCCATGTTGGCTGTTTCAGGAGACCCTTCAGTAAACTCTGCAGAGAGGAAGTGGCTGGTGGTTTCAGCATCATGTTACTCAACACTTTGAAAACCAGACACTTCTTGTAATAAACAGGCTTCTTTACTGTAGCAAACACTCACTGTGGCCCCAGTTTTACTGAATAGATACAAAACATACGTTATACAAAAATAATCTCATTAACCTCATTATCGTGTATGCCCTGACACATTATTGATTGTGCAGTGTTAAATCCAGAATCTTGACCAGTTTTCTCTCTTGGTGCACGTCCTTCACGCAAACAGTCCAAATGCTGAATGGGTTACATGCTCCAACATGCTCACATGTAGCTCTGCCTATTTAGGCAGGGTGATAGTATGTTCTCTCTTTCACACACACACAGATTAATTATTTTTTCCAGACTGTGAAGCAGCTCGAATAGGCTAAGAAAAAGAAGAATGTGCATCTTTGGTTTCTCTTTCATGGCCTACCCTGACACTGAGCCCTGACTAAACAAAAATGACAATAAATCAGACACAAAATGAAACAGACAGATAATCGCTGAGTATTTAAGATTGTGTAAAACATTTTACGATGTCCCGGTTATGGTTATATAGGTATTTAGTATTTGGTTAGGTTTTACAACTTTTCATGTTTAGTTGTAAAAGTTTCTAACTTAACAAGTTTCATTAAATTGCTGATACGACCTGCAGGCTCTGCTGACTTTGTGGATTTATGAGCTCGTTCTTGATTAAATTACATGAAAAATGGATGTCATAGTGAGCAGGGCGGGAGAAACAAGCCAGCGTTTCAGACTACAGTCTGTTCGGGCTCATGTGTGAATAAGTTTATCTTTAATATCAGCATCGTTGTATTATTTTGTTTTATCTGTACATGCAGAATTGAACATGTGTTTTTTTAATGTGTGTATGGATACATTTGATTTATTAAATTTTTAACAACAGAAAACTTAACCAAGCTTAACAAAATCTTAAACTACTCTGAAGAAAATTAGCTTCTCCATTAAGTACCAGTTCCATCGTTTTGTTTCTGTTTGGCTCTTCTCAGGTTTAGGTGTGTCTCCATTGTTACTGGATCACCCACTAAAGGGGTGGGATTTATTATTAACCTTTACTTAACCAGGCAAATCCCATTGAGATCACAGATCTCTTTTGCAAGGGAGGCCTGGGCCTAAAGGCAGTCAAACCCTAACCCGGAGAAAACCCACGCAAGCAAATATGCAAACTCCACACAGAAAGACCCCGAGTCCAACTGGGGATTGAACCTAGGACCTTCTTGCTGTGAGGCAACAGTGCTAACCACTGATCCATCGTGCCAGCAATAGCTCACTGGCAATAGACATAGGATTGTCATAGCTCATTTTCTGCTCCATGAATTGGGCCAGTTAGCGGCTGCAGTCTGTGGACGTCAAAACTGTTTGTTTACAGCAGTACACTTGGAACTATGTATGAGGTGATACCATAAAACGAGCAGGTACCTGCAATGGAGACACTCTTAACTGGTGTGATGTCAAACTGAACTGAAGAGGAAACCATAGAGAAAGGGCCTATTCTACGCCAAACCAAACTGAACAGAACCTAATGGAAACTTAGCGATTAGTGTGAAATGTAACAATGGAGAAGTGGCTAAAATGTTGCTCCGTCCTTTGACTGTTTTATTCTTGGTGAAGGTTCAACGTTAAATCTAAATAAAGTGCATAAATATCACACTTTAGTTGACATTTGCTGAAAGTGGGAGAAAAAATGGAAAGCAGAAGAAAAAGACGACAGAAATGTGTAGAAAAAGTTGAATACAGCAAAAATGACCAGAATACGCTGAAATAAGCAGAAGATGAACGGATTACAAACAACCTGAAATTAGAGAAAAAAACTCAAATTAGCAACAAAAATAAATAAATTGTTGAAAAAGCACAAAAGCGCTGAAATTAGCAGAGAGACACTGAAAGGAGCAAAAAAAAAAGTTGGAATTAATTTAAAGAAGTGCAAAGACAGAAATTAGTAAAAATGAATAAATATGGCAGAAAAACGGCTAAAATTTGCAGAAAAATTTCTAAAAAAGTATCTGAAAAAAATGCTGAAAGAAGCTGAAAAAATAACAAAACAGCTGAAATGTGCACAAAGAAGCTGAAAACAGCTGAACCAGAACAAATGTTGAAATGAGCGGTAAAAAGGTTATAAACAGCACAAACGCTTTGAAGGAGAGAGCTCTATTCGTTTTCAAAGAGATAAACATGGCTGACAAAGCTGAATATTTTAAAAAGTAAAAATTGCACAAAAGCCAAAGCAGGAAAGTCCTGAATGAGCTGAACGTTTTGATGCAAGAATTGTTGAAATGGCACAAGAATTGTGGACGGGGAAGCAAAATTGATCTGAAAATCATTCACATTCAAACTGACTGAACAATGTTCAACAACCTTCTAAGTATTTCAAACAAGGTAATAGTACGCATGTAGAGCATCCTGGCTATCTTTTAAACACAAAATGTGACAACTAACATGGTGATCCGTTTACTGGAAGCTCCGTGTGAGCAGGCTGCCCCCACATCCATCTTTCTGTCAGTGTCAGTGAACGCTGCACGGATACATGAGACACGCAGCTGCCTTCACTGACATGTTTCTAAGAACACGCTCCTCCTTCGGCTGATGTACGCAGAACACACAACACATGGTGGCAACTTAATGTTCTGCATGTATGAGTGGGGTGTCTACTATAAATCCACAAGAGATGGGTGTTTCTTTTTTTCAACAGAATCAACGTATTTGCTTTAATTGTCGATTTGGATTCAGATATAACAAGAACGTATGTCAGAATAAAAAGTGTTTGTTTTTGCTTTTTAAAAACTCTAAATATAATTGTTGTGCAGCTATCAGCTCCAGTTCAGCTGTCACAAAGCAATCCTTGATGACAGCGTTTGAATTTTTTTGCAGAACATGGTTTGTTACGTTGCTCAACCACTAAACAACTTGTTATATTTACCCACGTTTCTTGTCAGCTGTGCACCTCCAGCTTGTGTTGTTCTTCTACTTCACCTCAGTCTTGATTAAGTCCACACAACTGGGCTTAAAGTCGTCAAAAGCAACACACAAACAAGTATTTGTTGTTTTAGGTGACTCGGAGAAATATAAAATATAATGTTTGGACACACTTGGACTGGCTCGAGCATTTCTGGCCTGAGATTCAGCTTGATGAAAACGTTTATTCAGGAATTCAAAAAGAAACTTGAGGACTTGTGTTGCTGAAAAGGGGAGGAAACGTCACATAAAGTTATTTAAATAAACCTGGATTTGATAGCTTAAATGTTAAATAAGGAAAAATTGAATCATCTTCTGTTTTCGAGGCTGATGCTTGTGGCTCTAAATGAACACATCTGGGATCAGATGATTCACAACTTTTGTGTAATCACATCAGTCAGTGCTGCATGTTGTCATCGTGTGTGATGAATGTGTTGTTGTGCTGCAGGCCTCTCCTGCTCTGACTGAGGAGATCACCTGATCCCTGCCAGCTTTCACTCCACCCGGATTGTCACCTCATGTCGACCCCCCCTTCCCAGGTTTCACTTAAAGCAGGTCGTTTTACACATGGGATTATATAAACACACACACACACACACACACACAGACCCGGCTCGTACAACAACCAGTTACAGAACTGTACAAAATGATCTTTAACATTTGAGTCCAATCTGATGGGTCTCATATAAACTGGAGAAATGGCATTTTCTTTTTGAACGCACTGAGAGCTGATCGACTGCTGACATTTACTGAAGAAGCTGAAACAGCTGTTAAAGCTAACTAACTAAAAGCTACAGAAGAGCAAAACAGTAGCTAGCTAAAAGGTTAACTATAAAGAAACAAAAGGCTGGCTAAAAGCAAAAACTATTTAAAACATCTAGATAGTTTAAATAATGTTTGCTTTTCGCTAGCCTTTTGATAAAAGGTTCGCTAGAAGCTGAAAGTAACAAAAGCTTAGCTAAAAGCTAAAGGTGTCAAAAGAAGTTTTAAAAGGGCTAAGTAGCAGAAGATAAAAGTAGTAGAGTGGTAGCTAAAAGTATCAGAACAGTAACTAAAGGTATAGACATTCTAAAAGTATCAAAGAATAGCTAGAAGTTGAAAGTAGCCAAAGCCTGACTATAAACTTAAAATTTGCAAAAGGTTAAATAAAAGCTCAAAGTAGCAAAAGGCTAACTTGAAGTTTTCAATGGGATAAGTAGCAGAATGGTAGTTAAACGTTAAAAGTAGCCAAAGCCTGACTATAAACTTGAAATTATTAAAAGGCTAAATAAAAACTCAAAGTAGCAAAAGGCTAACTTGAAGTTTTAAACAGGATAGAATGGTAAATAAAAGTTAAAAGTAGCCAAAGCCTGACTATAAACTTAAAATTATTAAAAGGCTAAATAAAAGCTCAAAGTAGCAAAAGGCTAACTCAAAGTTTTAAATGGGATAAGAAGACTGGTAGCTAAAAGTTAAAAGTGGCTGAAGGATAGCTAAAAGTAATGTTAGAGGAAGTTGAAAACAGATCTCACTGTATTTCTATGGAGAAAATATTTGTAAATCAACTTGAAGTCTCTGAAAAGTATAAAAACCAAAAGGCGCAGTTTACACCTCTTGAATGAGTTGAACGTGTTCCTATAAGAACAGCTAAAATAACCCATGGCACGAAAAAGTCATTAGGTTGCAAAAACTCACAGAAAAATAATAAACAGCAGTTTGAATGCTGAGTCAGCCTTTAATTGTTTATGCCCCCCACACCTACCACCACCACCTCACACACACCTTGATGGTTCACAGTGGACTCACCCAGCTCCAGGTGGTGTCGGTGGAATCCTGCTGAGCAGCTTCATCCAACTTCTCTTCATCCACAGCTGATATCATGATTCCATCATTTTGAGTCCAAAGCCTCCCAGCAGACGTGTAACATGCAGGAACTCCTCAAGTCCAGTCTCGAAAGTGTGCCCGCTCTCAGAGCTTCCACAAGTGTCTGACGGTCAAGTGCAAGTGAAAAGCGTCTTACTAAATTTACCTGGGCCCCCCCGTTAGAAACCTGAGCCCACCCTCAAATGGTCGTCATGCATGAGATCTTTTGACTCCTCTGGCATTTGATGGGATTCTTTGGTCAGAATATTTATCTAGGTGGATGTCTCCAGTCCCACATGACCAAACACCAGTTAGGCAACCAATCCTCACCTCCACCCACCCTTGATAGTTTTTTCAGTGGGTAAATTTCCAATCACTTAACAGGAAAACAGTGAAACCCAGCACGTATACCCCCTCCCCCACTGATGACCACAGTACTGTTATCACATTTACAGATGAGAACATCTGCTGAGGGGGGTGAAGTTTTGGTTTCACTCGTGCACAGAGACCCTTCATAACTGCTGATACTGTTTAAATAAACAAGTTAATAATGTTGGTTACACAGACTCAATATCTTACCTGTTTTAGATAAACTTAATGTTGGAGAAATAGAGCTTAATTCTGACCAGACTGCCTGGTTTAGGTTGGATCACAACCAATTGTCATCTAAAAAATTGCTAAAGTTATATAAAACAATAGAACTTCTCTTAGCAGTCTTGAGCAGAAACAATATGTTTCTGACATAATATAGTAATCTGAAACTAATGAAAGTTTAAGGTTTATAAAACAGTCTTTTTATCAATGCTGTGAAACTTTTGAGATTGTAAAAGTGGTTTTGAGTTGGAAGCAGTTCATTGTAGTCGTGGCCTTGCTCTCTATTTGCTCCAGGTTGTGACAGTTTAACATCTATGACAGGTAAGATAATAACTGTTCATAAGACTTTAGCCAAATTTCACTTCAAAAGTCCTGAACTATCCCTTAAAGTCAGTGGTTCTCAAACTTTTCTATGCCTATCTCCCTTTGGAGAAATAAAAAATTCCACCTCCCCACTCAACCTCATCCCAGCTCCGAAACACAACAACAAAAACTTTTAATTCTAAAAGCATATCCCAAAATTTGCGCAATTCTTTTTAATTTTCTCCTAATAGTTTATTGCATCAAAAACGTCAACAAGCTTATGTTACATTTTATCAACAGGTTCCAACCACATCACTTTAAAACATCAACTAAAATAAATTAATAAATACATAATAAAAACACTCTAATAGAGGCTGCTCTTTGTTACAACCATAAACTACTTCTCCATCACTTTCTGCTTTTTCAAACACGTGTTGAAATAAAATTTGTGCAATTTTTTTTTTAGAACTATAACAAAAAAAGTTAAATCTGTGCAATTTGCAAAATAAATAGTTTTTTTTTCCCAAGCTAGTGCAAGGACATATTTAAATTTCAATGCCATCTAGTGTTCAATAGTGGTAATTACATGCAAATAAGAATTAAATGTTGCCTTCGTGTGCTGTTTTCAAACTTTGATTTAAAGTTAATAGCGTAGATTTCTTTAGGTTCATTCTGTCATGTATTTACATACTTTATCTTTAAACTCGTGTTGTACAAACTTTAACACTGACCAACTTTTCTTTAATTGCTATAGTTTGCTCCAACAACAGTCGTTTTCTCGTATGACATTGTGAATCTCAAATTCTCCCGCAGCACCTGAAGCCATCACTCTGCTGCCTTCACGGCGTCCTCCTGTGGCATATTGATCCAGCTACCGATCGTTAGCTTTTGTGTCAGTATGTTGTCTGCGTATGCTCACGATTTGTCTGTTGTTTCTGGGTAAATATACCTGGCATTCGGTGGCTTTAATGTTCCGTGCAGGTCAGCTAAAAACCATCGGCAAAGCGGGAACTGGCTGGTAGGTGGTCTTAAATCTCAGACGTGACATGTTGCTCACGTCTCATCAGCCGACTACGGAGTAAAAAAAAAAAAAAAAAATGCTATGCTAACAGGCTAGGGCTAAGGATTTTTGTGAGCGTGTAAGCGGTTGTCATACTTAATTTATATCAGCAACAGTTAGTACATTTAACGTAGTTTTTAGCAGCACCTAAATAAATATTAAGAAGTCGCATTTGGCGTTTATAAAAGCGAACCGAGCTATTTAGCGACATAACGTTAGCCTGCTTGGCTAACACCGCTAGCTGTCAGTCTCAAACCACATAGATATAACCTGTGCTTTCAGATCTTTAGTAACGTGAGTATTGAAAAGTTTAGCAATGTTTTTAGTCTAAATTTGCTCGAGGAGATTAAAAATGGTATTGTAATGTCAGAGTAATCCCTCATTTTGATAATGACAGCTGCCAGCGTTATCGTGAGTGCTTGGCAGTAAGGTCTGTCTTCTGGGTTCCTGGTTTTCTGTCGTTTGTTCCAGCTATGAGAGTCTAACATGTTGTTTACATGCACACAATCGTTGGTTCTGTTTATATTATTCATAATGACGTGTTCAAACATGTGGAATTTTAGTTACAGAAGTATTTGTGTGTAGCACAATATATAAAGTAGTAATCTCTCCCTGTTTTTGTCCCCTCATCACAGGCACTTTCACCGGACTATGGACGAGCTGGTCCATGACCTGGTGTCAGCACTGGAGGAGAGCTCGGAGCAAGCTGCTCGCGGCGGTTTCGGTGACGGCGGTGACCATGCTCTGGCGGTGGGCTGTCTGCTGAAGAGGCAGGCTCGGAAACGGAGGGGGCGAAAACGACGCTCGGACAACCCCCATCCGCCGTGGGAGGCGGGTCACCTCAGTGAGGGGTCAGAGTCCAGCGTGGAGGAGCATAAGGTGAGGCCAGGTGAAGGGATGGCGGGCCAAAAGATATCAGCATTAAGTTGCTTTCACTTAAGATGCAGTACATGCTGTGTCGGGAATATCATACGTTTATACTGGTTGAAGTACGTCACACTTTATTTTAGCAGCTGCATCATGGTCTGTTTTTTCACCACTGGGACATTTGTTGCAGGACTACCGTGCCGGCTCAGGAGGAGTCTCTGCTGCCAATAGCCACGCCCGGGACAACAGCGACTCCGATGACCAGCTTGGCCCTAAAAGACGACCCCTTCATGCTGCTGACCTGGGCCGAAGCAAACGTCCATTTTGGCCAGACGACCTGGCTGTCCTGGGCTCAGCAGAGGGGACTCGCAGCCTCAGGCGGCGGCGTAAGGTCAAACGTATGGCTGTTGACCCACCTGCGGACCCAGAGCCACACTCCTCCATCATGCTCGGGCCCCCGCCTGTCCCCAAAGCTCGCGTCGGTGGCAGGCCTCACAAACTGAGTGTCTGCGAGGGCAGGGGTGCCCTGGAGCTTTGTGGAGATGGCCTGATGGGGTCTGGGGGAGGGAAGAGTCAGGTAAAGAAGAGGAAGTTGGGGACCCTCAGACTGGGAGTGGAAGCTGCAGATGAGGGGGTGGTGATTGAAAGTGAAGACCCAGTTTCTCCTCCAGTGGATGGGTTCAAAGACAAGATGGAGCTAGAGGAACAAAAGGGCTCAGATGAGGACATGAGTGACCGGTGGTTAGTGTTTTACTTTTTATTATTTTTCCCAAGTGACGTTCAAGTTCTCTGCTTCTGTCTTATTAACATAAGTGTGTTTTTGAGTCTTAGTTTAGAACATCAGGTAAGATGTAGGACGGGCTATTAAAAAATAGAAGTTTCATTTAATTGGAGTTTTTGGAGTTCAGATTTTGTCCCTTACAAAATAGTTGCTTAGGCAGATTTACAGTTATGGATTTTCTAGTTTACTCCTTTAAAAACATAAGTAATTCAAAAAGAGGAAAGGCTTTTTTTTATGATGTTTTTCTAAATTTATTTTCAAATGGAACCAATTTACTTGGAGCAGAGTAGCTAATATTTCAACAAGCTTATTTAAAATAGATTCCTGGCTGTCTGCATTTGTTTTTCTTTTGTCTGTTTGTTTCATGTACCTGTAAATAACATAATAATAATTACTGTAATGAGGTATTAGTTTGCAAACAAAACCATGCCAGTGCCTGATGCTTTTCTGTATGAGTTCTAGTCAAAATTTGATTTAGAAAATCCACGAAAAAAACATTTTCCTCAACTTTTTTCTATAGGGAAGTCTATCTGCTTTCTCAAAAATGGCTCAACAAATGTTTGTGTGATACTTTCTCTCCAGACTTCTTGTCACAAGTCTCAGAAAAACTAGAATCGCTGTTGTGGTACTTGATATCTGAGAGGTTTAAGCTTCATCAAACCAACTCTGTTCAGAATTTTGTTAGTTATTCAATATCAAACTTCTTTACATTAAATAGTTAAGACTAGTGTGAGCTCAGTGAAGAAGTGAAGCTCGCTCTTTTTTTTTCTAGCAGATCCTATTTGGTCATTTGAACCTAAGGAAACGGTACTGAAGCTCAAGTGAGGTCTAATTGATTTTTACAGAATGGTTGGCATCTCTTACAGTGAAAAGGGAGATTTTAGAGAGATTTTGTAAGTAAGAATAAAATATATGCTAATATTTGTTCTAACATTGATTCATTTACTAGGTCTTTAGGTTTTAGCCAATTTTACTCGTTGTATTTTAATTAAAAAATCCTTGAAGCTGTTGATTTATTTAGATTTTTTTTGTCTCCTTTTCAGTGAGACCAGCAGTGTGAGTAACAGCAGTGACGGGGGTCTCTATACAAATGATGAGGGGAGGCAAGGTTTGTACTTGGAATAATAGGATCAATAAGATCAATCAGTCTGTTTTAATGCACAAAGGTGTGAGGATGTAATGATTTTTAAACTGTTCATGTAAAGCTTTCTGACAAAAATGAGCTTTCATAAAAATGTATTGTCAGATTTTAGTGTTTTCCTGCGACGTCTCATTTTCTGTCTTTTGTCCCAGGCGATGACGAGCAGAGCGACTGGTTCTATGAGGCCGACCCGGGGACTAGCTATGGGCCCGGTGGGGCCTGTGGGATAGCAGGAGTGGTGCCCTGGTGGGAGAGGGAAACGGCATCAGAGGAGCTGGACCTCGCCGACCCAGTCTTCAACAGTATTCTCACGGGATCTTTTCCACTCTTGAGCCCTGGAGCACAGAGAGGTAAGCTGCCATCCGTCTGGGAGGGGGGCACTTTCACTCAAAGCTGTAACGTGATTAAAACAAAATGTAGATATCTTTACATCAAAGTGGCTTTATAGTGTGACTCAAGTAGGAGCTAACTTTATATTACGTGTCCAGTGTGTTTTGTAGTAATGTTGCAATCTTACTTTTGGCCAGTAGGGGGCAGTCACTTCACATAAACACTAAAAATACAACACCTGTACAGCAACATAAAGCTGTTTTTTTTCTTAATTCCATAATTCAGAATGAACCCCTTCTTGCATATAAATGTTACAAACAAATGAGTTAATTTCAGAAATTATGTTTTGACTTAATTTGTTAGTAAAACTGTGATGGTTGTCAGGGTTTCAGGCCAGGTTGAGTCGTCTTCATGGGACCCAGCAGGGATCTGAAGCGGGGCTGCATGGAAGCTCCGGTCCAGGCTTCAGCGAAAGGCTGAGCAGACAAGCCCAGGACTCACATGAGTGAGTTTTGCTGTGTACATTTTATTCACTGTTTCACATTGCTCATATATATTTTTTGTGGTCTGCTTTTACACGTACAACGCATTTTCTACAGCTGCTTTAATCGTTCTGTCGTATCTTTCCCAGACCCTGGTTTAGCTCAGGCTCGAGGAGAGAACACGGACAGGTGAGTCTTGTCTCAAACAGGTTCAAATGCATAAATCAAACTTCAATTTCATGCAAGAATCAAGGTGGTGCTTGTTTTGTTGCTCGTGGTACTTCCTAAGTGCTTCAAACAATACGTTTTCTGTTCTCTCCTCTTTGCCACTTCAGTTGCACTGGGACTCGCGTGCAGACAGAGGGCATCGGAGGACCTGCTCAGTAAAAACAGCAAGCAGGTCAGAAGTTTACCTTAAGGAACAGCTAATCTAACCAGGGGCTCAACGTATTTAGGAATTTTTTTACTTTGCTCCTGTTTCAGGAACATTTCAGGATAATTTGTGTTTTTGTGTTGCTAGAGATCAACAAATTGTCACCTGTCTGTTTTTGCAGACAAACCAGCGGGCACCTTGGTTCTTTGTGCACAGGGGACATCAAGCGGAGGCGAAAAGCAGCCCCCCTTGGTACCGCTGCCCCCTCAGGTACTGGTCATTTCTAGCCTACGCCTCTCGGGCTTTTGATGCGGTTTTACGAATCATAAGCACAAAGAAAACTAAATAAGAATGCACAATATAAAATTGTGTTAATATACTTGTTGAGGAGGAGGCAGGTCCGACCTGCTGGTTGAAAGAAGTAAAAAAAAAAAGTCCAGTTTAGATCAGATGGATCAGCTGATCACCGGCCGCGTGAGTCTCTGCATCTGCGCTCATCTGCGGTGAAGGAAGTAGCAGCATCTATAAAAGCCGAAGTGAGCAGAGCGTTCAATAAAAATAGCCTTGTTCTATATTTTTCAAAATAATTTTGCTCAAAAAATATTTTTATTCATCAGTATAATGGCCGATTTTTAGAGTTGATTTTTTTTAGGCTGTTTGTTTTGTATGTTAATATCCATTTGATGAAAGAAGAAATCTTATATCTTCCTTTCTTTGGAATACATTTTTAAAATATCATGCCAAACCGATTTGCTTACAAAAGCAGTAAAAGCTTAATTAAAAAAAAAAAATAATAATTTTTTTTTGTTTGTTTGTTTGTTTTGTTTTTTTTTCCCGGGTTCGGGCCTCTAATTACAGTTAATCCATCGGGTTGGGCTCGGAAAAAAAAAAACTACGAGTTCAGGCCGGGCCGGATTTTTTTAGGCCCGATTGCAACTCTTAATTGGACGTGCATCCGTCTGCAACTTACACACCTGGCACTCTTTCTTTGTATATTTGTATCTTATTTGTTCTTTGGTTAAACGAACCATTCTCAGCCTTTGAGCCAGTTATTAAAAACTGTTCTAAATAAGAAGAGATCTAGTCCTGATCGGAGTGAGCGGCTTTACTCAGTACTGCTAGCAAATAAAGAGAGGATTAAAAACAGTAATTAGTTGGGCTCTGTGAGCAAACAGAGCTTCCTGGAAAAGAGAGGACCGAATGACCACTGTCCAAATGGACACTGATGTGCGTCACCTTCCTGCATGTTTTTGTTACACAGCTGGAAGTGTGGCTACAAGCCAACTCCATGGTTTATAGGTATTCTACACCAGTATGCAGACAGACTCCGTTAACTGACACCAGACTTGTAACTCGTTCACTCATTTGCATCAACCTAAATTATTTTATACTCGTCTCGGCTTTTGCGGTTGCCGCTCCAAAATTGTGGAACAGTTTACCTGATCATTTAAAGACTGCAGAGAGTGTTGAGACTTTGAAATCTCTGCTCAAGACTCATCTGTTTTCCTCGGCGTTTGATCCATGCAGAGTCTGAACCAGTTAGAGCTGATTTTATTCTTCTTGTGTATTTTATTAACTTTATGTTTTCCGAGTGGCACAAGATGTATATTTTTCTCGTCGTAATTTGACTTCATTGTAAAGCACCTTGGTCAGCTTTTGTTTTTATGTGCTATAGAAATGAATTGACATTGACATCTCATTTGGAGTAAAAAAGTAAAAGTAGAAGGAAATCCAAGAAAAGTTCCCACAGCCACTTTATTGAATTTTGTGAGCTAAACCCTGGATCAGCTGTGTAATGTTTTTAAAAATAGCAAGTTTCTCAGATTTGATGCACTGGAGGCATTTTCTTAGAAGGAATATTGACTTTACATAAAACTGTTGCAATGTTTTTCTGTTGTTTTAACTGATAATTTAACTTTTAGTTTTATTGTTAGGCTACATGCCATTTATTCTCCACTTGGTATACGTCTTCTGACGTTTACATTTTACTGTCAGTGAGTCCTTGTTTACTAGTAAGGGCCAAAAATCGATTGACTGCCAAATGGCAGTCGCAGGAGCAGATTAACACTGAAAAACAATTATTTGTTTGCTCGAAATTATAGTAAAGGTGTGTCTCAGTCTAACTTTTCCTTAATGAATGCACTTTGACGGTCAAGTCACCTGCATTTCAAAAGTCGATTCGCAGCTGCGGGAGCGCGCAGAGGGAGAACTCACTGTTCATTTCTTCTAAATTTACCAAGATAACCACCTAAAAATAATTTGTTTGCTCGACATTTCCGCAGAGGTGTTTCTCAGTTGAACTTTTCCTTAATAAATGCACTTTAACGGTCAAATCAGCTGCATTTCACCTGGGCTGCACGGCGAAATGCAGCTGACTTCACGTTTGCTCCAGGAGTCCTGGAGCCAGACAAAGGTGGCCTGTATGGCAAGCCAAATGTCTTATTAATAGCCACTTTTACCTATTAATAAGACATTTGGCTTGCCATATAGGTCAAGCACCCTCTAGTGGCTAAAAATTGTAGTGTTTAATATTTTCCATGTCAGAATGAATGAAATTGTCAAATCACAGCCAAAAATTGGTCTATAAATATGGGAAAAACATAAATAAGTCACTTTGCTGCATCAGTTGCAGCTTTCTAATTTATGCAAAAAGGTGCGACATATACAGCGAAAAATATGGTGTATATGGAAAATTTGTTGATCTTGCAATATCACTGTTTGTAATATTAATATGGCAAAGGATTAAAAAAACTGTAGACACAAACTGCATGCAGATAATACAAAATTGTCAATAAGGCATGAGTATTAAAGCTTCTCTAAATGCCCAGAATCAATAAATGGACAGTTGTAATAAGAGAACATGTGTGTGTAGTTCAACAAATATTATCTTCCCAGTATCCAACACAGCTGCATGATTTTCTAGCATCAAATGTTGTTGTTTGTTTTTTTTCCTAATCTGTTAATTGTCTTTTCAGGTGTGGTTGGTGAGAACGCACCCCCCATCTCTGACTCCAACATGGGGAGTCGCATGTTGCAGAGCATGGGCTGGAGCCCAGGGATGGGCCTGGGCCCAGAGGGACGGGGTATCACCGAGCCCATCCGAGCTACTCAGAGACCCAAAGGGGCGGGTTTAGGTTTCAACTGAGCATCCTGTTTTTGACAGGAAGGGAATTCTCCTCAGGGCCATTTCTTTTTTTCTTTTTTTTTTATAAAGGTCCTATTAAATCCAGCCATGTGAGCTCCAAGAAGAGAAGAAGCTCGGAGCATAACCAAGAGCATCCGTGACCGAAAGACTTTCCCATATTGGGGAAGCTACAAGAAGCCTGAGTTATCCTTGGAGGACTTCTCGTCATGTGACTCGCTGACAGAAACTGGGCTGTAGAAACAACTTCATTTGCTCAAACTCCATGTTGGAGATGACACTGATGGTTTAATCACGTTACCTCAGGTGTGTGAGGTGTGGAAGCTGACGTACCGAGTGTAAACCGAGAGCAGGGTTCGTTAGCATTCAGTTTGTTAGCAGTCAGAGGTGTTAGACTGTTAGTGAGACTTGGTTTGTCCAACTTTGCACAAGTTTTAGAATCAAAGGTTTGACTAGGCCATACACCATTTTTTTTTTTTTATATAATGAAGTTAGGTTCCACTTAATTGCTGTTAGGTTTTTACTCTTCGTGTAACGGAGGAAGTCACGTCAGGAAACCGTTTTTTATTTCACCCCAAACGATAATATAAAAATCCAAATCACAGTTTTTGCTGCATGTGGTCTTACTGTACATGTATTTGCTGCTGGAGCTGCTGCACATTTCTGCTGCAGCTTAACAAGAAAATACTCCTCTGTACATGTGATTTAGTGTTTTTATTTTATGATTTGTTTTGTTTTTCTCCAGATGATTCCCAGATTACATTTGTAGCTAAGAAAAGTGACATTTTACACTTTATATTGAGGTGTTGGGGCATATTTGGATGCAGTGGGGGAGTAAAGTAAGCCATGTTGCTTTTACTTATTTAATGTTTTGACCTATTTTGCCTGGTTATACCTTTTTTTCTGGGCTTTGGCCCAATCAGACTGAAATGGAAACGCCTGAAACACGTGTCAAGTAACTTTTATTAAAATATGTTCTGTACCTTTGCTGTCATGTCTTTAGCGAGTAATGGCAGCATTTTATTCAGCTGTTGTTGGATGTTTATACTGTAATTTTCACATCGGAACAACCTGCCTTTTAAACACAAAAAGGTCTGGGATTAATTAAAAAAAAAAGATTTTAAAGGGACAAAACTGGTTTTAATCTTGTGAGGCTAATTATACCTTTCTGCTTCATCAAGTGGGATAAAAATATATTTGATCATTTATTCAGAGCTCAGTGTTTAAGTGCAATATACACAATAAAAGTAATGAATACAGTTTTTTGAATATGAAAAAAATGTAAAGAAAACAAAATGAGCATGAAATAAAATTTAACATTTTATTAAACACCGTAGACTGAACTTCAACTGAACTGTACAAAAACATTCACATTATCAAATGCCAATCGGTAAAAGTTATCCAAGGACACGAGCAGATACTTTGTTGGTTTGTCCAATCTCCCTGTGCAGCACGTTGGCGACAGTGGAAAGGAATGACTCCATTTTAACGAGAAGAAACCTCCAGCAGAGCCGGGCTCAGGATGGGCATCCATCTGCCTCCTTCTAACCGTGCAGACTTACTTTATGAAATTGTGCTTAAATGGTTTCAGGTGAGTATTTTCAGTTCAGCTAAAAACTTAAAAAGCTGTTGCAGGGAAATTCAAGAGCAACTCATTTGCTCTGTTTTATTAGCACACATTTTAATTCCACTAACACCTTTCAGCTGTAACGAGGCACAATTACAGAAAAGGATTAGGGCCACTGTGGAAAAATAATTAAAAAAATCTGAACTCTGACTTTAATTTCAGAATTCAGGAAACAATATATTTTTGGCATTGTCATAATCTTCTGGACTACATTCATTCAACCTTTATTTTATTTTTAATTACAGAAGAGGGTAAAGGCTAAAATGAACAGTGTTTTTTTTTGTTTGTTTTTTTGCATAAAGTCAGAATTCTCAGTAAAAAAAAAAAAATGCACGTGGCCCTAATCATCTTTCATAAAACACAAATTTAAGTGAAAATCCAAACAGTATTTTGGAGCTCAGCGTACATGATGTGGATGACTCTCAGCTGCAGCCACACTTTAGCCTGATGTTGATAAAACAGAGTTGTTGCCGTTTCTTTGCGTTTGCCGAAGTCATTTAGCTGTGGCGGCCATCTTGCATGAGTGCCAGAGTTGGAAAGAGTACTGAAAATTTGTACTCAAGTACAAGTACAGTTACACTGCTTAAATTGTACTCGGTTACAAGTACTGGTGTTATAAAAATACTTAAGTAAAAGTATAAAGTACTCAAAAACTACTCGGAGTATTAATTACTTTTTAACCAATTGATGTTTTATTGTGTTGTCAATAAAAGTAATTCAATTAGATTTACTATATATAACAACTACATTCAAAGCACATTTCTCAGATGAACTATAAAGTATAGAAAAATTACACTAAGGCCATATCTTTTATAAACAAATGTAGATAAAGCAGGAATTTTGTTTGTTAAAAGAAAGACAAAAATGTTTTGGAACCGGCATAGAACAGTTAAACTTTTCCAAATACACTGAACAACGGGCAGGTAAGTGTCTTAACCTCTGACATTTCTGTCACCCTTCACTTTCTGAACCTTTTGTTCAGTGTCAGCAGGAGCTGGGTTTCTAAAGAGTCTGTCTGGCTTCGTTTGGCTGCGAAGAGTAGACTAAATAAAATGACTCTGCGGAGTTGTCCTTTGCTTACGTCATAGGTAATTGGCGCGTTTGTGATCTGAGCCTTAATGGCTACAAAGATGCAGATGAACGGTTTGAAAATTAATTCAAATTGTGGCCGTACTCTGTAGAGACTTGTGATTTTAAAAGTAGTGACGTAGATTACATGGTCTAAATTGTACTTGAGTAGGAGTAAAATTACACACTTGAAAGAAATACTCGTAAAAGTACAAGTACCCAAACAAACTACTTAATTACAGTAATGTGACTATTTGTAATTTGTTACTTCCACCCCTGATGAGTGCAAATGTTAATCAGTTGTTGACGTACATCTAATAATTAAACATTTAAGGTTTGTTTAAAATCCATCCAGTGGTTTCAAGTTTATTCAACATGTTGAAAACATGACAATGACATTTGTTCCCCAGGTAATGTTAAAAATCACAACAATAAATAACCAAAAAAACTTCAATAAATAAGCTGCACTCCACAGCCTAACGTGATTTAAAAACAAAGAGTAATTAAAAAACATAAGAACAATAAAACACAATAAAGTGCAGTTTAAACCTCAGAGTTCCTGAGCCTCAGGGTAGAAGCTGCTCTTGAGCCTGGATGTTTGGAGCTTTCAGGTGGCTCAGCCTCCAGCCTGAAGGGAGGAAGGAGGACAGTTGGAGGGCGGGGTGGGTGAGGTCTCCCATGGTGTTCCCTGTTCTGGTGCTTCATTAAAATGGTCCTCTAAAGAAGGGAGGCCACTTTGTTTTGCTAACAGACCCACAGAGACAAAAACATTTACATTATCACTTCAGTGGGAAACAAAGAGTCAAATTTAAATAATTATATGTATACTTAAAGAACTCTGTCAGTGTTGCCAGATAGAGATGAGGTTTTCCAGCCCAAAAATCTGTTAAAAGCTGCCACATCACACAAAAATCCACCCAGTCAATATATTGTTAAAGTATAATTGCTGCTTGAACATGAACACACTTCAGTACAAGCCAAGGTAATTTAACAAAATGTGGCAAAACACAACAATCCAACAAAAATCTTCGCAAAGTTCCCAGCAAAATCAGAATGAAAACCACTCAATCTGGCAACACTGATGGTAAGTAGAAGTGTGTTGGTTCTCGAGTTGTCTCATAAATTTATCAGCCATGTTTTGCTGCTTTGGATAATTTGGGCTGCATGGTGGTTAGTGGTTAACACTTGCCTCACAGCAAGAAAGTCCTGGGTCCAATCCCCAGTTTGGACTTTCAGTGTGGAGTTTGCATGTTCTCATGTTTGTGTGGGTTTCCTCCCACAGTCTAAAATCTTACATGTTCAGCTGCCTTCAGGCCACCTCTTGCAAAAGAGCTCTGTGATCTTAGATTTGTCTGGTTAAATAAAGGTTAATAAACAATCATTTCCCCCCACGTATTATAGTTTCATTTTGAAATAACCGACTTGCTGCTACAACAATCAAGTCTGTAGTCATTTTAAAGTATTAATCAGTGCATGAAGCCTCAAAGTTGAAATGTGTCCCTCAGAAGAACTTTCCAGTTTGCTTCTAAAGCTCACACGGCTCCTTTTTGAGGTCAAGGTCAAGTTGTCTTCATTGTCATTCACACCGCATGTGGTACATGTGGTGGAACGAAACAATGTACACAGGGCCCCAGTTGCATCCAACCAAAATACAAACTGTAAAGAAAAACAGTAATGAGATCTAAGATATGAACTAAGAATTACACTAAGAATACACTAAGCACTAATAGTACAAAACAATGTGCCAAACAACAGCAGCACGAACATGAGGCTGTGTGAGCAGATGAGGACAAATGAACACAGCAACATAAAACAGATCAGCAGCATGAGATCAGCAGCACATATCAACAATCAAGTGGCATTACAGTGATTTGATTTTTCACAGTGATAATCCTGATTAGAGATTCATGAGTCTAACAGCCTCAGGGTAGAAGCTGTTCCTCAGTCTAGTGGTTCTACACTTAATGCTCCTCAACCTTCTGCCTGAGGGGAGTGGGGCAAAAAGTGTGTATGCTGGGTGAGTGGGGTCTTTCGTGATGCAGGTGGCCCTCTTCCTGCATCTGGAGGTGTAGATGTCTGTGATGGTGGGGAGACTGACTCCAACAGACTTCTGTGCAGCCTTCACCACTCTCTGCAAAGCTTGATGAGGATAATCCGTAACTGCTCATTTAGGAGTAAGTAAAATTTTCCCAGCTTCTGTCCGTGCACGCATCACATCCACATGCTGACTCAACATCCCTGAAATACGACACGTGCATCGCCGGCCTCCTTCTTTAGCATGGCTGCAACAGAAAACCCTCCTCTGTATCTATGGGAATTCAGGAGTGCTGTGTGTCCTCTACCCTTCCTCCTGCTCAGCACCTCCCTCTGCTTTTAAGGGGGAGCGTTGGCTCGGTCCTCCTCAACACACACACACACACACACATACTCTCTCTCTGTACTTTCTGCCTGACACACACTCTCTCAGGACTCCCCTGTGAGCACGCCAGGCAGGTGAACTCAGCACTGGATCAGAGTGAGATGCTGAGAGGAAGCAAAGAGGAGGAGAATGTGTGTGCGTTTGTGAATTTGTGTGTGCTGCTGCTGCATCGCTGAGCTACAGAGACCGGAGGCGAGGAGGGCTGGAGTGTTTGTCCTTGAGACTGACTGACTGCAGCTGTAGAGCAGAGCACTGACCGGCCAGCTGTGGTGGATGAACCTGACAGTGAGTACTGAGCACTAACAAGTAGACTGATGTGTGTTTTTATTATCTGCTTGGGAACAGATCTGTGTGTGTGCCTGCAGGTGAATGATCTCAGGTGAACTCATCTCTTATATTGGCACCCGTCAGTACTTCCTGTAGGACTTTGGAGGCAGTTCAGCAAAAAAAAATAAAAATAATGTTCAGCTGTTCATCTGCAGCAGTGCTTTCTTTGTTTCTGTGTCCAAAAGGTGTCCGTAAATATGAACTGTACATGCGTCCCGCTCTTATTTTGACCTTTTCCTCACTGTTTCTGTTGACACATCCGAAGTTGTGCGCGCATAATCGGACGTCTTCACATACGCAATAAAGTCGTTATGTGCAATCTTGCAGAAAATTACGTTTTGACTGGTTGGAGTGGCTGGGATTCAGTGGAGTGTGCTGAGCAGGAT